TTTCTTATACTGTGTAGTACAGCAAAGCCCAATGTATTATGGGAAACTGCCATTTCTTACAAAGTATATACATCCTTGTAACAAAGAAGATATCACAAAATAAACATATCTTCAACTCAAATCCATCACTTTGACAGGCCAGATGAAAGGAAATGTTTTTTTTAAATCCTGTAAGGAAAGAACTTCCAAGAAAGATTTTGAGAAAGAAAGCTTGAAATAAATAACAGTTTTCTGTTCTACCCTCATAGCATGGAGACTTTTTTTCTCAGAAAGTTATGCTTTGTCCTGGGGAACTCTGATTTGGCCATGGTAACACATAACATAGTTATGATATTCTTGGATTACTGCTATATGTGGAACGTTACACATGTATGTGGAATTACCTTGGAAAGTCTTCAGAATCTACAATGAAAGCTAGCAGTAATATTATTTATATTATTTTCTTTAAAAGTATCATCTACTCTTGCATTTATACTGTGTATTGACCACATGGCTCTCTTTTATTTCAACAGTATTATGAAGATACCAAGAATAGCCACCACCATCGTGCACCAACAAGAAGACATGTGGACTCTCCATCTAAGCAAAGCAGGATTGCAACCACTAGGTAATATTAATTTGACTTTAATTTCAACCCAAACTGGCTAAATCTAATGAGATTACTAAATTTTTATTTATTAATCCATAGGGTTTTGTGACATTTGTAGTTTCAAAGAAAGGCCAAATGAGAAAGTGTATACATAATGCCTGTAATTATGCAATATCTGAAGAAGTGGGGTGTGATATCCAATCAGCAGTTTCCTTAGGTGTGACTTTAAAGCCCAATGCAATCTGCATTTTTCCTAACTTACATCTATCTGCCATAAACTTCTGGGACTCTAAGTTCTTTGCACAAACTTAATACAGACCTAAGGAAGTAGGCATCCCGATGCATGAAAGCTAGCAAATACGTTGTTTTAATTGTCTATAAAGGTATTACCTACTCCTGCAGTCTTAATTAATTATGATTTCTATGTAATGTATAAAGCTATTCTATGTACTATGCTTTTTGGATTTCTTTACTGCATATTGCTGTGCGTGTGTGCTGGTGTTAAGTAAATGCTTTCCTGATACCTTGAAAGTCTCCTCTAGGCATGGGAGCTTCATATTCATCTCATAGGGGAGATGAATACTCACCATGGACCGGGCTGGTTCAATCATGGGCTCCTCCACAATTAGCACGATGTTACCACCACCAGGCAGGTAGGCACCAAGGAGCCCAGTAAATGGACCAGGATGGTTCTGGGGGTGTATGTGAATGGGCAGTTGGAACAGCTGTGCTGTCAGGCTTCGTATCTGTCTTCCCCAGGAGATGAATATGAAGCTCCCATGTCAAACCTCCAAAGTATGAGGGTAAAACAGGATGACCAATTCTATTGTTAACATGCAGTTGCAAAGTCTATAACATTAAAATGCACCAGAATGGTTCAATGGGTGTGTTGATCACACACCTGAGTTATCAACTAAAATCCTGTCTCCCACCACAGAACACAAGTCTTCAGATTCACTTGTCTCTCACTCAAGGAACCAGTTAAGATGTTAAGGTGGCTGTGGATGACCCAAACTTTTGTCCCTGCCCTCTATGTTCATAACATATAAAGCTGTATTTCATGCAGTTATGAGATGCTGATATTTATATGTAGCTTTGCTAATAATGGTTCAAATTATTAGCTCATTAAAGAATGTAGCAAAGACCAAATCTCAGCCCTCATGGGAAATCTATAGTCAGTTTTCCCAATTTTCTTACATTTAAGAGACAGAGAGTATGAAATCACATGTTCTAAAGCTAGAAAACAGATAACAATTCAAAGCCAACTCTCACTGAACAGGCCACAGATCAGTAACAAGCATTTATTTAGTGCTTCAGAGCATTCGAAGTATCTTACAAGAAGATAAGGTTTGGCACTACTACAACACATGGTCAACATTATTTTCCATACTGAAAATCAGAACAGTGACAAGGAAAAAGGGAAAGGGAAAGGTTCCCCTTGACACTTAGTCCAGTTGTGTCCACTCTAGGGGGCAGTGCTCATCCCTGTTTCCAAGCCATAGAGCAGTGTTTGTCCGAAGACAGTTTCTGTGGTCACATGGCCAGCGTGACTAGACATGGAACACCGTTACTTTTCCACCAAGGTGGTACCTATTTATTTACTTGCATTTTAACATGCTTTTGAACTGCTAGGTTGGCAGGATGACGAGGAAAAGCCTTGGGCAAATTACTAAGTTCATAGTAGAGGTAAACTTTAAACAGGGATTTCCAATTCATGGCTCCATCTCTCAGATTAGAGATGGGCATTAACCATGGCTTGGTGCAGCACCTGCACAGGTGTTCCATGGGGCACTGTGCACTTCCCTTCTCCACCTGCTAAAGGTGATTTCCCACTCACCGGCAGCAGTGTGCCTCCCTCCTCTGCTGGTCACCCACTCAGATGAGGGGGGGCAGGGAAGCCCATGGTGCTACCTCTGAGTAGGTAATCACTGAAGAGACAGAGGAGGCAAGCGCACTGGTGACGATGAGCAGGTGATTGGCTGGAGGAGGTGGAGGACGAGAGTGAACAGCACACAGAACACATGTGTGAACTCCATGCCAAATCAGGGCAAACTGCATTTTCTGCCCATCTCTATTCCAGATACCACTCTTGAGAGTTCCACCCTTCCAGTCACAGGCCTTCTCTGCTACTACAACGATTTTCATTTTTGTAAACCCGAATTATATTTTAAAGAATTCCAAAAGAGTTTTCAAATGCCAAGGCCAGTGGGCTATTTTTCAACTAAACTTATTTGCATTCTATCCAATACAGTCAACAATAATAACAAAATCTGTGAGGAAAATGCTCATGGCCTCTGATCAGCTCAGAGCAGTGGTTTCCAACTCTGGGTAACCCAAATGTTCTTGAACTGCAACTCCCAGAACCCTTCACCCAGCTATGATGGGAAACACTGCTTAAAGCATACATTATGCTTCTGCACAAACAAATAGAAAATTTAAAACATGACAATGGACATGTACACCTGGAATTCTATAAGGTTATATACTCATTATGAACATATAGTACTCTTCTGAGAACAGCAATATTATGAATGTGCCAAATATTTAATTCTAAGCAATAAAGTAGTCTTTGTCCACAATTCTCCTCACTTCTTTTTTGGAACAATACTGAAATAATTTACTAAGGGTCCAATGGGCTAAAGAGAATTTCAGTCTGTGGCATGCTGAGAACTTACAGGGGTGCTGAAAGACTGCTTCCACTTCAAATTATGAAACTAGTACTCAGAAGAGTACCTAAATCTACAGAGGTAGACTCTTACAACTCATGAGGTGTCAAAGAAATTACAGTACAAGGATAAAGTAAATTACTCTATTTGTAGGAACAACTGAAGTCAGAAACAGATGTTAGAGAAAGCACGTGACTGGAATAGAGAAACTCTTAAATGTCACAGCACCCCCTCTGGATTGTGCAGATTAGCTTGCCTTGTTTTGCATTTGTTCTTCAGAACTTAAGTAGGGGACTCATTTGAAGTCTGATTTCATAGACACAGAAAGACTACTTCAGTCACCTCAACACAAACATGCTTTCAACTGTAATCATGGTCTAGCCCTAATATCTGTTTCTGCCCTGTGGCTGACAAGAATAAAGTTCCTTTGAGGGTTTCCATCAGTATATACAAGTCAGCTGTATGCATGTGCTTTTTTGTTGTAGAAAAGTACATAACATATGAAATGGAAAGGTATCCTAATTTGGGCGGAAGGGAGACAGCAGAAGGAAGACAAAGCTCTTTGTACAAGATCTCGCTGAACTTTATGGTACAGGTCTTAGAAGTTAAAAGTGAAGCCATAAATATTTTTAAAATGCCAAGGGAAGATGGGGTGCTACCACAACTACTTCCAGGAAACATGACACCCACAAGGACAGATCTTATCAAGATTTTCTAATCCTACCCTCAAATCTAACACAGGGAAGTCCTGTTAACTCTGAAGGCAAAAACAATATGCCAGTATAGATACTGAGCAAGTTCAACCTCAGACCAAGGAGTTTTTAACAATCAACACAAAATGAAATGTCAAAACTAGAGGGCATCAGTAATTCTAGCATAGGGTGCCACCTAGCTTCCTTGTCAAGTGATTGGCAGAACGCCTATGAGGCTCTATTTTTCCAAATGTTCTTTCACAACACTAATATCCCAAATGAAGGACTTCAAATCCAACCTAATTGCTAAGACCAGCCTTATGTCCCTCAACAAAGGTACCTGCTTGCCCCAAAGCTTCCGCTCTTTCCCACTGTAAGCGGGTGGACACACACACCCCTTTCCACGACGACCGGTTCCCCAAAGTGGAACGCCATGAAGGTGAGGGCATATTTTTTGGAAATCCGCAGAGGAAGAGGATAAAATGAAGCGGGCAAGGAGACAGAAATCAGCGCTGTTGTAGCAGCACTGCAAAAACGGGTGACTGCAGAGGAAGAGGGAAAGCACAGCCAACAACAGAGAGATGGGAGGAACCCAAGCACATTCGTTGTGGGGATAGCAGAATGCGGTGGAGGGAGGAAGGGGGTTTCATGGGGGGGTGAGGCAGGTGGGATGAGAACGAGTCATCTGCGGCACCGCTACGCCAATGAATAAAACCAGAAAAAGAAAATGGATACCAGCCTTCACTCGAAAATAATCTCCTTCCTTTCTTCTATTCCATCTCGCCTCTTCCCCTTTTACCCTCCCAATTTCGCTTTCTTCCTAACTGTTCGTTCTGCCTACCCGACGACACTCCCTCCGCGAGCGCATTTTCAAACCTCCCTCTCCCCCCCCCACACACACACACCCGCCGTCCTCTGCCGGGGAATTCAATCCAAAACCCCCAAGGCCGCCGCCAGCCCGTCCCCTCCCTCGTCCACAGTGCCCCCGACGCCGCCATCCCTTCCCAAGGCCCGACCCCCCTCCTTCCTCTGACCCCCCGCAAGTGCACGTACCTCATACTGGATGTATTGCTTTCGCCACTCCGGGGTGATGTGCGCGGAGAGGTGCTCGGCGAACTTCATCTTGCTCCACCGCCGGGCTCGTCAGCCCTGCCCAAAGGAGCCCGTCCTCTCCCCTCCCGTTCCCACCCGGGCTGTCCCGGAGCCCCCGCTCAGCGGAAGCAGAACCCGGCTGAGGGGCCGCCTGTGGGCGCTTCTGCTGGTGGCGACGGACCGGGGCTGGTGCCGCCTCCACCACACATGGGCCCTCTCCTCGCTTTCTTCCCCCCCCTTCACAACACAGGCACAAACACACTCTCGAACTTTCCCTTCAGGGTCGCCTTAGCGCCTCCGCCGTCGTTGCCGACGCCCCCCACTGCGGCCCCGCAGCGTCCTCCGACGCTCCTGCAGCAGCGGCAGCCTCCGCCGCCATCTTCCCTCCTCCCCCGGCTAACCCCGCCTTTCTATACCCTCCCCGCCTGACGTCATCGCCACGATAACCGCCTGCCTGAGACCGAAGGAGACGGAAGGGGGGGAGGGAACAGGGAGGGGTGAGGGGAAAGGAGGGGGGGGATGAAACACCATCGCTAGTAGCCCCGCCCATTTCAACCATTTTAGCCCGCCCCCTCCTTCCCCGAGTGAGGAAGAGGAGCTTGAAGAGGTCGCGGCTAATACCCTCGGAAGCCCGCCTACGCCACGCCCCTATTGGTCCGGGCCCGCCTAACAACGCCGAACTCTAAAGGTGGCACGCCCCCTTGCTCCGCTGTACGGGGTCTAATGTGATCGGGAGCGGATGGAGAGTGGATCTCGACGGAGACTGAGAAAGGAGCGCCTTGGGAACTATCTTTCACATAGCGGAGCTGAAACTTCCGTTCTATCGGCCAGAGAGGAGAATTGGTCAAAGGGAACGCAGAAAATAAAAATTGAGACACATATCTATATGCACGTGTACATATCTATATGCGCTTGCAGACACCCAGGCGCGCACGTAGACTCCGGGTAATGTAATGGAAAGAGCGTGGTGCGAGGATTCGGGAGGCAAGCGTTCAGAGAGAGCCCTGGCTCAACCGTGGAAACTCACGGGATGGGTGCGTGTGTGGTGACAGTGAACCACTCTTGCCATTTCTGAAAAGAAATGAACCATTTCACTTACCTCAAAAAAACTTGTTATGGCCTCTGTAATTCAGAAACGCCTTTAAAACATGTACGGATAACAATGCACGCAAGCGCACTTACACACAGACAAATGTTTTAATTTTCTAACCGTTGTATGAAGAAGCGTGCAAGATTTCCATGTCTCTGTTAGTGTAATATTTTTAGTAGACCAATTGTGTGGGCACAAAAATGTGCAAACTTTCGAGATTTCCACATCTATTGGTCAAGCAAGATGTTACAAAAAGTTGGTGGGATGAAGGGACACGAGAAGGTAAACTTGGCCTTGCATCTTAAGGTGAAATGGATGGAGGGGGTTGTTTGTAAATGTTCCAATTTGGTTGTAGCAAGTGATGTGATAGAACCTTGNGGGGGGGGGGGGGGGGGGGTGGACAGGGAAAGTTGGATCCTTTCCCTATCTATCAGAACCGTTTCTGTTCTGGGGAAAGCAGGTAAGATACTGTATGCTCAATAGTATCAGTTTATTTTTTCCTTCAACAACTTTTATATTTATTGAGAGTTCAGATCTTCATGATGGATACGTGTGATATATCAAGCCATTCTCCTGTCTTTGGTCTATATAGGACATATTTTAAAAATGGGGAAAATGTGCCCTACTTCTGGCTGACTGGGGAAACATTCATGTGACACAATGCTATGAAGTGATTTCCAATAACTTCAGTGGGATTTATTCCCCCATATGTCTAAGATTGCAGCGCAGACAACAGAATTCTGAATCCTTTCAGGATGGGGCAGGGGGAGACCAGTCATAGCATGGATGAGCCTGACGGAGATCATTCTGAGGTGGTTGCTTAATTAAGGAAGAGCCACGCTGGTGGCTTCCAGAGACACTGGATTAGAGCTCCCATGACCTTGATACGCATGGGTGATGGTAACGATGGGAAGTACTAGTTCACATGGAGGGCAGAAGGGAGGAACACTTTCATCTGTTTTAGAAAACATACTTTAGCAAAATGGAACAAAGTAAATGTCTTTGCTCTTGCCATCCATTAGTAGGTAACACTGAGGCAAAGCAACACTGCAGAAATGATCAATAAAGCAAAGCAAAAAAGCAAAGTGTGCTGCTTATATAGCACTTAAAGCACTCTCTGGGCAGTTTACAAGTTAATTATGCAGGCTACACATTGCCCCCCCCCCAGCAAGCTGGGTATACATTTTACAGACCTTGGAAAGATGGAAGGCTGAGTCAACCATGAGCTGGCAAACTGGGATAGAACCCCAGGTCATGTGCACAGATTTGGCTGCAGTACAGCAGGAAAAAAATTCAAAATTTGGAAAGGAGTATGACAAGGCTGTATATTGTCTACCTGCTTATTTATGTGCAGAATATATCATGCGAAAGGCTGGACTGGATGAATCCCAAACCGAAATTAAGATTGCCGGAAAAAATATTAACAACCTCAGATACGCAGATGATACCTCTCTGATGGCAGAAAGTGAGGAGGAATTAAAGAACCTCTTAATGAGGAGAGCACAAGAAATGGTCTAAAGCTCAACATAAAAAAAATCTAAGATCATGGCCACTGGTCCCATCACCTCCTAGCAAATAGAAGGGGAAGATATGGAGGCAGTGACAGATTTTACTTTCCTGGGCTCCCTGATCACTGCAGATGGTGACAGCAGTCACAAAATTAAAAGACCCCTGCTTCTTGGGAGGAAAGCGATGACAAACCTAGACAGCATCTTAAAAAGCAGAGACATCACCTTGCCGACAAAGGTCCGCATAGTCCAAGTTCTGGTTTTTCCAGTAGTGATGTATGGAAGTGAGAGCTGGACCATAAACAAGGCTGACCACCGAAGAATTTGTGCTTTTGAACTGTGGCGCTGGAGGAGGGTCTTGAGAGTCCCCTGGACTGCAAGGAGAGCAAACCTATCCATTTTGAAGGAAATCAACCCTGAGTGCTCACTGGAAGGACGGATCCTGAAGCTGAGGCTCCAATACTTTGGCCATCTGATGAGAAGAGAAGACTCCCTGGAAAAGACCCTGATGTAGGGAAAGCGTGAAGGCAAGCTTACATGTAATCAAATCCACGTTTATTGAATGAAAGTTACTGTAATAGGACATCCATGATTTTCCTTCTGTGATTTACTTACTACTCCATAAATAAACCTTTTTATATTTGGCAGCAAGAGTGTGAGATTCATAATTGATATAATGAGGATAATATCCTCTGGTGGCAGCGAAAAAGGGGAAAAGAACAAGTTGTGTCCAAAGGTGAACCTGTGTGGGAGACAAAACATACAGGGGTCACTGGGGGTGCGCGACTGGGACAACAGAGGATGAGATGGTTGGACAGTGTCATCAAAGCTACCAACATGAATTTGACCAAACTCTGGGAGGCAGTGGAAGACAGGAGGGCCTGGCGTGCTCTGGTCCATGGGGTCATGAAGAGTCAGACATGACTTAACAGCTAAAAAACAGCAGCAGCAGTTTAACCACAGCACCACAAGACTCCTTCTAAGGACCAGTGCTCCCCAACTGTTTTAATGTCAGGGACAGGTTTTGTTGGAGACCAATTTTCCAAGGACCGGGGGGGTTGCCGCCCCAGGCGTCCATGAATGGGGCGTCATGGGGGGCGTCCGTGCATGGGGGTACTTGTTATGCAGTAGTATTGGACTGCCAAAAAAAAAACAAGTAGGTCCGAATTCAAATCAAGCCTGAAGTTTCTTGGGAAGTTAAAATCATGAAACTGAGGCTGTTCTACTTGGAGCGTCTCATGAGAAGGCGGGGGGGGGTTCTTTGGAAAAGGCAATGATGCTGGGAAAGGTTGAAGGCAGCAGGAGAAGAGGAAGACCCAATAGGAGATGGACTGACTCCCTCAAGGAAGCCATAGGATTGAGTTTATAAGAGGTGAGCAGGGCTGCAGAGGGCAGGGCGTTCTGGGCATTCACAGGGTCACCCTAAGTGTGTGGAGGGGGCGACTTGAGGGCACCCAACAACAACAGCAGCAGCAACAGAACCACCACCGGACACTTCAGCGGGGGTGTGGGAAGCAATAGCACGTGGGATTTTGCGCTCCACAGAACCCCCACTCCAAAACGCCTCCTGCTCCATGGCCGGACTTCAGCTTTCTCCTGGCGGGAGGAGTCTGGGCCTTGGAACTGAGCACAGGGGGAGGGTTTTCAACGGGTCACCTCCTGTCTGCTGACGGGCACGGTGGGGCCCACTCAGAGGCTGTCTCATGGGGTGGATGAGCAGCAGCCTTTGTATGGTTGTTGCTGCACCGGGCGCTGCCCCGCTGAACAGCCACTATCCTGAGCCCATCAAGCTCAATTAGCTGCCCATCCTGAAGTCAGTTGGCGCAGAAAAGTCTGCACGAACAATTTCCTCTCAAGGAATGGAGAATACATGTAGCAAAGTATATGTTATCCAGGTTGAGGGAGATCCTGAAAGGGTAAAACCAATGTATGGGGTTTGTAAACAGTCACCACAGTAGAGTTCCTACACCTTGGACAGTGGCTCAACAGATAGCGCAGGTGCATTGTCCTTTATAGAACCAACTCCATGCTGAGAAGGCCTTTATATGTTGAGTTTTCAAGGCCAAAAAAGCTGCCTGGAGCAAACAGACTGAGAAACTGACAGAGCCACAGCAGGGAGCTCGCTGGCCCTTGATTCTTGTCATGTGGTGAAAGTCCCTTGTCATCAGCACATGAAGGGGTGCAGGCTGGATCTTGTACTTCAACAAAACCGGTTTGTGGAGAGAAAAGGTAGATATGGAGATTTAGCACATGATCGTGATCATGAATGTGGGCAGAAGCCTGGTGCATTTTATGCAATTACACTTACATTGGTGCAAATCTACAATAGGATTCTGGCCAATAATTGATGGCAAGAAGATAGTTATAATGCCTGATAGTGGCCTTTTCTCTTATCTATTTTTATATGGTACATATGCATCATTATCATGTTATATCTGAAGAGCTGGAAGGGACCTCATGGATCATCAAGTCCAGCCCCTGCCAAGGAAGCACAGTGAGGAACTGAATTCCCAGCCTCTGGCTCCACTGATGGATACCTCAACCATTGAGCTCCCCAGCAGTTCAGTGTGACTTACTCCTTAAACAAGGGTGGAAAACTGTTGCATTTGTGATGTTTTTTAGCTTAACATTCTAGCCAGCATAGCTAGTTATAAGAGATTAAGCAAGCCATAGACTTAAAACATCTAAAGGCCCACACCTGCCCACCATGTCTTAAAAGTTAAAAAAAAAAACCCGAAACGTCCTTCTGTAGCACAAAAGGAACAATTAAAACATCTACTTCTTACCTTGCTGCTTTTAAATATTTTATATACCTTTAGCA